GAGACAGATCAGTAGGAATTGGTCCTTTTTCCTATGATATCCAAACATTTCTCATCTTACTAATGATCCTTCTTTCTGATTTTAAAGTTTTATGACTCACCAGGTTCTGTGGTTTAGTCTATAATACCATGCTTTGGGAGGCCGAAGTGAGTGAATTGCCTGAGCCCGTGGGTTCGAGACCCACCTGGGCAACTTGGCGAGACCTCATCTCTACAATAAATTTAAAAAAATTAGCCAGGCATGGTAGTGCGCACCTGTAGTTCCAGCTCCTTGGAAGCTGAGGCGGAAGGATCACCAGAGCCCAGCAGGTTGAGGCTGCGGTGTCCAGGAACATGCCACTGTACTCCAGCCTGGGCGACAGAGTGAGACTCCAACTCAAAAAAAAAAAAAAAAGTTTTATGACTCGTGTATGTTTCCATGTGTGCAGACTATTGAGAAATCTGGTTCTTGGAAAGGTGAGCTTTGAGAGCCAGTGTAAGTCATCAGAAGTACCATCTCTGGAACCTGACCATCAAGGTTCAAATCCTAGCTCTGTTATCTACTTGCTGGGTGACCTGTACAAGTTACATAATCTCTATGTGCCTCAGTTTCTTTATTTTAAAACCCTCATAGGGTTCTGTGTGGATTAAATGAGATAACATATGCAAACCTGTTAGAACAATGTGCCTGACAGGTATTGTCTATTGTTACTATTATGCTTGTGAAAGGACACTGGATTCCTTTGAAGGAATGTTTGCAGAACGAAATATATTTTTAGGAATACTAAACAGGCTGCGAGTTCCTGTCTGGGACTTTAGACCTTGAACCTTATTGCTAATCTGAGGTGAGAGTGAAAATATATTTGGGAATGAGAAGTTGCAGCTTCTAGTTCTAGTTCTGCCACAGATTAGCTATGAGCTGATGAGTTTCTCTGGACCTGCTCTCAGATTATAAACCCATGGGGTTTTAGGTCTTTGATCATGTGATATTGAGACCTTTCTGGCATGTAAGTTTTATGATTTGGCTGTTATTTTTCACCTCTATGCAGAGGTTTTGTGGACTTAAGATTCTTGGAATGACTGGGGGTTGATCATGCCGTATTTCTGGAAGAGAGAAATGTATGTGCTGCTTTATAAATAATTAAGGGGGAGAAATGGTGAGAAAAGAGGTCTGCCTTCCTGTAGCCATACTTGTGATCATGGCTGTCAGCATTATCATCTCCTTTCTGCTTCACTGTAGAGGAGGAGGGGATTTTTAAAGAAGGGCTATATCCTGGGGCTCAACTGGGACTCTAAATGTGTTGTGGTGCTTAGTTCAGGGAAGGCAAATATTTCTTCCTTTAAGATGAGTCCTGATCTCATATCCTGCTCCTCAGACCTAAGCAAATGGCAACGCAGGTCAAGCCTTTCTCTGGTGCCCTTTTATCTCCCTTTGCAGATCCTGCTTTGTTACTGTCATGCCTCTTCTGATGTTCTGATGCTTTTTATCAAACCCTGTGTGTCTTATCCAACAAAATAATCTCTTGCACTTTCCCAAAAGGCTTTTTTAAACAATTTTTTATTTTTTAAAAAATTATTTTTATTATAGAGATGTGGGGTACAACTGAGGGTTAATTACATAGGTAGCCTGTATGCAGGGACTTTTAAACACTTAATTCTCTGAGTTCTGCTGTGTTAGCCAAAGATTGATTAGTGAAGATGACAGAAGAGTTCAACTCTCCAGGGCATACTTGGATTTAAAAGAGAATTTTGAAAACAAACTTTTGGAATATTGAGAAAGGTACCCCGTTTAGTTGGGAGGCTTGTAGATCTCTCCAGTCATGGGCTCCTCTGGGCTATACTCTCCTATCTCAACTGTAACTGATCTGCCAGAGGCTAGAGCACAAGGAGACAGGACTGGGTAGCAACATGTAAATATAACCTGGTGGTTAAGGACATAGGCTTTGGCATTAACAGGCAAAGCTGTATGTAATTCTATTTCTGCCCTAACTATATGACCTTGAAGTGAGTTACACTGCTGAATCTCAGTTAACCCGTCTGTAAAATGGGAGTAATAAAATCATGAAACATGGTTGTTGTGAGGATTAAATGTGTCAGTGTCCTTAAAGATGTTTCCCCATTCATGGTACATAGAAAATGTTTAATAATGTTTAATAAATGGTAGTTACTACTCAGGGACAGCTTCGTGGCATGCAGCCAGTACAGCTGCACAGTATACCATGCTCAAAAGTACCCTGCCCTGGCGTTAATGCCTTGTTGTCATTGTCTTGAAATTCTTTTTGTTGTTGTTTTCTTCTTTTTAGAGATAGGGCCTAGCTCTGTTGCCCAGGCTGGAGTGCAGTAGTGCTGTCAAAGCTCACTGTCACCCCAGACTTCTGGGCTCAAGTGATCCTCTTGCCTCATTCTCCTGAGTAGCTGGGACTATAGGCACACACCAATATACCTGGCTAATTTTTAAGTTTTTTGTAGAGACAGGGTCTTGCTATGTTGACTGTGCTAGTCTCAAAATCCTAGCCTCAAATGTTCTCCCTGCCTCAGCCTCCCAAAGTGCTAGAATAACAGGCATGAGCCACCACACTCACCTTGAAATTGTTAACAGTTTTTGAGCAGTAGCCATGCAAATTATGTAGCCAGTCCTGCCACTACTGAACTACATTTGACCTCTATTTACTCATCTGGCCACACTTTGTACACTTCCCTCTCCTTTCAACTGCCTGGTGCTTCTCTGTCCCATTCCCTCACCCCCAATGCCTTAGTGTGAAAAAATAGAAAAGGTAATTCTTTAGGGGAAAAGCTGTGATTTGGAATATTCAAAGATAGATATTGTCTGTTTCCAACAGTTAGAAGTCATTTATTAATGGGTTTTTAGAGCATGTCAACTCTAAAATCAAGTAGTGATGATACCAGTTAGAAATTGGTCTGTGAATAACAGTGATTATGACATTTGTATGGAAGTTCTTGAAATGGACTGTGCCTTTTTCCTCTCCCTTCTGCATCTGCTCAGTTTCAGACTCTCCCAGCCAGTGCTGGGTTATTTCTTTTCATCATATGTCTCATACATCATCCAGACTTGAGCTATCCTCTGTAGTGGTGACCTATAATAATTCAAAGAAGGATTTTATAGAAAATACACTGTTTCTCTTTGGAGTTTGGGTACTGTAGGAAGAGGCACATAGCAGTCCCCAGAGGCGCACTCCTTAATTCCCCTCCCAGGCTCAGATTAGCTTTTCAAGCCCTGGGTTGTGTCTGGGTAAAGCTGTGTGACCTCAAATAAAGCCTTCAACAACTTGGGGCCCCAGTATTCTTGATTTTCCATTCTACAGTCTTGTTCAAATCTAGCAATCTTAAACTAGTACATAAGCATCACTTGCTAATACAAATTTAGTGACAAGGAGGTTGTTTGGAATGTGAAAAAAGGCAATTCTCCCATCAGGACTTGAGAAGCCTTAGTCTCTTTTCTTATAGCAAAGGCTCGTAAGGCCTGCCCAAACCTGAGTTGTAGATTGAAACGTTTGGACAGTTAAGGTGGTAGATGTGGAATCCCAGCTCAAGATTTGAATTTCTTTGTGTTCATGAGGGCTACTACTGCTGCTGCTGGGCAAGAGAGGCCCATAGGCATCCTGTGGGATATATACCGAGGGTGCCAAAAAAATATATACATTCTAAGAAAGGAAAAAACTGTATTAAAATTGTAGATGAATACAAGTCACATTTGACTTCTGCAATTACAAGAGGTGCTCAAAGTGGTTACCATTAGCATCCAGACACTTCTGATTAAGGTGAACTAAAAGTAATACAGATAGATTCTTAAAATGTGTCTATATTAACTGGTCTCGGTGGCTCAGCCTGTAATCCCACGCTTTGGGAGGCTGAGGTGAGTGGATTGCCTGAGCCCGCGGGTTCGAGACCTGCCTGGACAACTTGGCGAGACCTCATCTCTACAATAAATCAAAAAATTAGCCGGGCATAGTAGCGCGCGCCTGTAGTTCTAGCTACTTGGAAGGCTGAGGCGGAAGGATCGCCAGAGCCCAGCAGGTCGAGGCTGCGGTGGCTGGTAGCATGCCACTGCATTCCAGTCTGGGCAACAGAGTGAGACTCCAACTCAAAAAAAAAAAGTGTCTCTATATTTTTTGGCACTCCTAGTATATGTTCTTAGCTGAGTATCAAAAAAGAAACTTCCATAAATATCTAAGACTGAGAGGGACAGTGGAGAAGAAAAGTTAGGGGTGATTTTTTTTTTTTTTGGGGAAGCTTAGCCTGATTTTGCTGCTGGTGCATTATGTAAATGTTATCAGCCAGAGTGCAGGGACTGGAAAGCACTAGGGCAAATGTGGGTGGTGCTTGTAATTTGGGAAGTACAAATGAAGTACGAATGAGTATTTGGCTTTTTTCCCCATTAAGGTTACTGTTGATATAGTGGGGCTTTTTTTTTTTTTTTAAAATATCAAGAGACCTTTGGGAGGCTGAGATGAGTGGATTGCCTGAGCCTGCGGGTTCAAGACCCACCTGGGCAACTTGGCAAGACCTCATCTCTACAATAAATAAAAAAATTAGCCGGGCGTGGTAGTGCATGCCTGTAGTTCCAGCTACTTG